GTATAACCGTTAAGGTCTACAACACAAGTTGTTTTAAAATCAAAAACTAGATAAATATATGTCGGCAAGGGAGACGAGATCTGTTGGGGGATCTTTGTTGCTTGCCAACCAACAGACTTTTGCATCCTTCTTTGAAGCACCATTTCAGCATATGGTGTGAGTACGGTAGTCAAACTCCCTGAAAAATAAATATGCTTATAAAAGGTTGTTGTACAAGTTATTTAATACTTTTATATTGCACCCGAAAATTTACCTGTCATTAAACTTTGTTCAACAAAAGTATGTTGTATGTACTCACGAATTCCCTCGATAAGCGTTACTATCGGTACATTACGTTGATTGAGCGATAATACTGAAAAAAAATTGAGGAACTTCCATGTCGAGTACATTCCAACGGATGATATGGAAATAGGCTCTTGCCCATTTCGGATGACTGATATTCGTAAGCACTTCACGAGCATCACGGCTTAGCCTAGCGAAATTTTCTTCAAAAATAGACATAGTGTATGCTTTTAACGTTATCCACAACAAAGTTTCCAATGATCTTCCAGAGCCTACTCTTGTGCGTAAATATTTGTGGACGCTCTTAAAAGTGTACCCATGATAAGAATCAGTGAAAACATGATCTATACAAGAACTAACGACATCGTCCATATTGGATATGAACGCTACTTCCCTCTGTCCGAGACTTTCTTTTAACCTCATAAGGAACCAGGTACAACTTACGAGATTATTTTCAACCGCCATACCAAATGCTATAGGGAAAGTCTGATTGTTCCCTTCTTTAGCAACCACTACAAACATTGTTTTTAGGTATTTCCCTCTAAGACGGACACTACCTATGAAGATGACAGGCAAGAAACAGTTTATGAATGCATGGACCTGTATTTTTTAGGAGTGCAAACCAATTAGTTTAAATGTGAAACATTATCAAATGTAAAGAAACAATAGAAATTTGGAAAACAATTATACCACCCATCCAATAGCCAGAAAACAAGATTGGAAACGATCCATCAAATCCGTTTTGATGTGAGTGTGAGTATGCGGGTTGGTTCGTCTTAGGTCATGAAGGTAAACAGGCAAGTTGTTAAAGCTTTCTTCATGCTCGGTGTCAGAGAAACTCATTTCGAATCAGTTTTAAGAGACAATTACCAATTACTTAGTGTGCCTAAGGTTGTGAAGGTAAGGGTCTTACCACATGCGGACTACTGCTTTGTAGCCTGCATAAGGTATTGTCATTTCGAACTATAGATTTGTCGTTTCAAACAGTATTTCCGTGTAAGGTATCTGACAATTGGACTACTCTTTGACATTGTTTGACTACGGTTTCATAGACTTTGACTACTGCTTTGTAGCCTGCATAATGTATTGTCATTTTGAATAGTAGATTTGTCGTTTCAAACAGTATTTCCGTGTAAGGTATCTGACAGTTGGACTACTCTTTGACATTGTTTGACTACAGTTTCATAGACTTTGACTACTGCTTTGTAGCCTGCATAAGGTATTGTCATTTCGAACAGTAGATTTGTCGTTTCAAAAATCTGACAATTAGACTACTCTTTGACATTGTTTGACTACGGTTTCATAGACTTCGACTACTACTTTGTAGCCTACATAATGTATTGTCATTTCGAATAGTAGATTTGTCGTTTCAAACAATATTTCCGTGTAAGGTATCTGACAATTGGACTACTCTTTGACATTGTTTGACTACAATTTCATAGACTTTGACTACTGACTGCTTTGTAGCCTGCATAATGTAGTTTCAAACAGTATTTATGGGAATCCACCTAATTGTTTGTCAGTCTTTTTTCTTATTTAAGTACTCCTTTAAAATTAGCAAACTAACAAACAAATTTAAAAAATGGCCTCCCATCAAACAACTTCTTCCAATGCAGTTGCTCCGTCCAATACTCCACATCCATGGACGAAAAGAGAGATGATGGTGGTAATACGATGTTGGATGAACGTTTACGAGGATGTAACAACCATGGTTAACCCTGATTGCTTTGAAGGTGATGAATGGACCCGCATAACAGCTATGTTTAACCTCTCGTTGGGAGAAGGAAAACACCGAACACAAGCAGATATTGTTGGTAAGTGGATGGATTTAAAGGAAAAAAATCACATGGTTCAATCGATGGTATCATCATCTTAAAAATAGTTATCGTTATACAAACAATGAGGAAGATCTTTTAGAAATTGTTAAAGATCATTACTTTTCGAGCACGAGGGGAGTGACTTCGAGTATGAGGATGCTTGGATTCTAGTTAAAAATAACAAATATTTCATGTAGAATGCTTTTATATGTGAAATGTCTTATGTAATGTTTGCTACTAGTGTATCTCGTTTTCTATAATGTTTTATGTTTATGTTTTATTTTTCATGGAATAAAGTAGATAATAAGTGGGGTACTAGATTTAATTAATAATGTCAGAAGTGCAGTTTAATACACGCAATACAAATTCAAATACGGGAATTCATTACTTTCCTACATTAATCTAAGGACAATTTAAATCAAATGTGTTGTCGAAATCAAAAGTACGGTACGCGCTTTCGTTCTGTGACCCGCTTCCAGATGCCAATTCATCAGTCATTATGCTCTTTTGTGTCGATGTAACGCCCGTGTTTCTAGGATAGGCATTAATATTGACATAATGGTCTAGGTTAACCTTTGTAACTCATTTAGAAGAAATGAAAAGGAATTATGTGAATATTATGTGAATTATGTGTTTTATGCTTAATTATTAGGGTTTAATTAATTAAGAATAAAAATGAGCGTCAAAAATTAAATTTTAGATAAAGCCGATATCTATTAAGAAACTTGTAGTGATCGTGACAAGGATTACGGATATATAAAGAATGCCGAAATCCGAGTTATAACGAAGAAGTTGTGACCTGTCGAAGTTTCGCGACAAAACCGGCACGGGGCCGAATGTCGTAAAAAAGTAAGTTTTTGATAAACTACTTTTTAGCCTTAGTGATCTAAACGAAACTTGTAGTGTTCATTAAACGGAGAGTATGTATAAAAAGAACGCCCAAATCTGACTTCGTATGAGGAAGTTATGATTTTTCGAAGTTTCAACTTAGCAGTAGACAGCTAAAAACTCGAATTTTAGATCGAGTAATTTTTAGCCGACACGACCTAAACGAGAATCGAAAGTCTCGTCATTAGTAGCACAACGGTAAAAAGTCTGACGAAAACGGACGTCGGATGAAGAAGTTATGAATTTTTAACGGATTTCTTGTCCCAGTCTGTTAAAAATAATAATATAAAAGTTAAAGTCAAAATTAGCCGACGAAGTCTAAACGAAAGTTGTAGAGCGTAATTTTACCTACACGTGCATATAAAGAACGTCAAAAACGGAGCTCGTATGCGAATGTTATGAATTTTAGAAGATTTTGGCACAAAATTCGAGAAATTTCGCATGGATGAGCTTCACCCGGAAATGCCACGTCACCTTCGCTCGTAGAGCGCCACGTGTCCGAATTGCTGAGTCACCCGAGGCCAGCTGGCGAGGCGTGTCGCTTCCTGATTCGACCGAAGTCTCGGCCCTCGCACATCCGACGCGTGTACGGTGATGCTTCGTATCCGAGCTTCGCAGGTCCAATCCGAGGGCGCCCCGTGTCCGACGCGTGTCTTCCTCCGGATCCGAGCACGTGGCCTTCACTGCTGCTGCCACCAGCCTCGCTGACTCGCCCTTCTGATCAACCGACTTCGGACCTCGCAGCCTATAAATAGAAGGCATGCGAGCTTTCCCGGGTAATTTTGAAAAATTGCCCATTTTTACCCCCTTTTCAATATTTTGGCCAATCTGACAAAAAAGTAGCCAACTTTAACAAAAAATGTAGTCAAATTTATCAAAAAAGTAGTCAATTTTACCAAAAAAAAAAGTGGTCAAATTTACCAAAAAAAACTAGTCAAAAAATTCAAAAAAAGTAATCTACATTTTAGCAAAAAATTATTTTATTAATTGTTAAAAAACTATTTTATATTTTACAAAAAAAATATTTTTTAACAAAATAATTGTCAAAAAACAACTCTACATTTTATAATCAATATTTTTAATCAAAATAATTCTCAAAAAAATACTCTATTAAAAAAAATAATAATTTTCTTTTTCAAAAAACAACTCTACATTTTATAAACAATATTTTTAATCAAAAAAATACTCTCTACTAAAAAAAAATAAAAAAAAATAAAAAAAAAAAACCATAGCTTTTTAACCCAAAACCATAGACTTCACCCCCAAAACCATAGTTAAAAAAAAAAAAAAAAAAAAAAAAAAAAAAAAAAAAAAAAAAAAAAACCGTAGATTTTACCCAAATCGTAGGCTACGGTTTGGGAAATCGTAAATTATATAGAGAAAACCGTAGGTTTTAAAATAACCGTAGGTTTTAAAATAACCTACGGCTTTATATCTTCAAAATAAAAAATAAAAAATAAAAAAAAAATTATACAAAACATGCAACAATAGACGAATTAGCGAATTAGCGAAACAGTAGACGAATTTAAATACCTACTGTTGGGCTATTTTGGGACAAATCCTAATTTTTGGCTAAAAATTGTTAATCACTTTCTTAATTTGGCTAGATTAGTAATTAGCCTTTATCCTTATATGTCATTTTTTCCATTTAAAATACTGATTCATACACATAAATTACATGTTTTACTAATTTAATAACTGCAAATGTATTATACCTTACGATGGATGAATCTTAGTGGAAAAATTACCCCCATTGTGCCTAAAGGTGAAACCATGAAATATCAAGGAATGGAAATTACAGTGTTATAATTGAACATTAGATGTAAAAGATGATAAGCAATGAAATAAAAGAGAATGTGTTGATTCTTTGGATGATAATATATGCCAAATTGGTGAAGATAGAAACCATGGGACAACTATATTTTTTTAAACTAAAACTACATTGTTATTTTAAGACATTATAGTAAAAATTTTGATTTATAATGAGAAACAAGACATAAAAACTACACTTTAGTCCCTATGCTTATATGAAAATTACGCATTAGGTTTCTAACTTAAAATTTCACCCTTAAATATAACTTTGCAACACTTTTCTTCTCTATCTAACTTCATCCATTAATCTCACATATAAAATGACATTTTTAACCTTATATGCCACCACAAATTACAAATTACCATTCATAATCAGTATCCCAATCGATCATTCAACGATGTCCTCCCATCACCCGATTGACCTAAGACACAAACACAAACATCAAACATCAGAAATTAAAACTAAATTAAACCAAATTAGTTATTCACAATAATTTATTTATTTATTTACCTTCTGGAGGCACCCAAGATTCATAATCACCTTCACTATTCAAAAACGAAGGCTTCTCAGGACCAATCACCTTTTTCTTTTTCCCCTTTTTCTTCCTTTCTTCTTCATTATCCGTTGCTTGAATCCCTCTCGTGTGTTTCAACAACAACGCCACAGCGTCTTCCGCCGCAATGTCTACTCCGGAACCGGAATTGGAATCGGAATTGGAATCACATTCCGTCTTTTCAACCGCAACTTGTTTCCTCTTTCTTATAATCAAACCCGGTGCGGCATTTTCAAGTCCCGTGTCCTCCTCTTTCTGCCCCAAAACCTCCTTTCTGTCTTTATAGTCAACAAACTCATCCGATTCCGATTCCATCACAACCGCCACGTCAGCGACCTTTTTCGTTTCTTTTTTCTCTACAGCCCCGAGCCATTGTGGCTTATTAACAGAATATACACTAGCTTTGACTTCTTCTTTGACTTTTTCTTTGACTTCTGTGGACTCTTTTGTGGTGACATCAGCGGTTTCTTGTTTTGGTTTTGTGGTGACATCAGCAGAAGAAGAATTTTGTTTTTGTGTTTTTACTTCTACTTTCATTGCAACTTGTGGTTTTGAAATATGTTGTTTTTCTTCATGTCCAACAGATTGTCTTCTTCTAGAAGCTTCCCCGGTGGGGTCCGCTATTTTTAACAGGTATACGATTCGTTCCAGTTCTGATTGTAACGCGTCTAGTTCTTTCTGGAGTGAGTTTGTTTTGTCATGGACTATACAATAAGACAAAAGAAAATTAGTTAAATTACTAAAATGCCCTTGTCATGATGGGACTGGACAAGTTTTCTACGCCTATTTTAAAGACGGGGATAGGGGCATTATCGTCTTTTTCACAAATGTAAGATCGTAGGCGAAGTTCATGTCCCATATTTTTTCAAAAATTGAAATTACTAAAATACCCCCCTCATGATGGGACTGGACAAGCTTTCTAGGCCTATTTTCAATGACGATGATAGGGGCATTAACGTCTTTTTCACAAACGTAAGATCATAGGCGAAGTTCATGTCCAATGAATGTCAAACACAGTTCAAATCAAAGATTCTAATCCAACAAAAGAACTCTACAAACCTAGTTGAGAGGAGAGTCCAGACATGAATGCATCCAGCTCATCACCAGTTTCTGCCACATCATCATTCTCAGTAACCACTCTATTTTTCTCATCAAGAATCGATTTTTTCTTTTCTTCAATTTGTTTATCAATTGCATCTTTTTTGTCCAAAAGAGAATCTGCTGTTTCAATTGCTTGTCCTTCTGCACCTTTTTGTTTTGATGGTTTCTTTCTTGTTCGATCATAGAAGTCATCTTCATCACTGCCATATCATGTTATTCTCATTCAATCAACTCAGGGGTAAAAATGGAAAAATAATTATCTGTAAATCATGAAATACCTCATGTATTCATCTTCATCATCTTCAGGTGCTCCTTTTTTCTTACCATGCACCCTACCAACACGTGCACCCATACTTTCACGGATACTTTCATTCAGAGTTTCCTCCAAATTTTCAAGCTCTTCTGCCACCTAAGCAATTTCATTAAAAAAAATGAATAATATTAATATATTATAACAGTTATAAAATAAAATAATATTAAATTATTAATCCATCATACCTGAGCCATTCTCTGTTCATTACGAGCAATTTGAGTTTGTTGCCCTTGTGTTAAACCACCTTGTGCAATGTCCTTTGCACGTATTGCATCTATTTCTTTTTTCATATTAGCAATCTGGATTCCATTCATGAAGTTTAGTTAAAGAAAAGAAAAGGGTAGTTTTGGTAATTTAAATGTAAGTGAAAAAAAAAAAGTGTACTTGCCTTTTCAAGCCTCTTCAAAACTTTCTCACGGGTTTTCTCTTGTTTCTCTGTAAGTTGTCCCTTGAATGTTTGCCATGTTATTTCTTCAAGATCATCCTTAAATACAGTTTCCATTTTAGTTATAATGATATTTTGAGACAAATCCACATCTGTTTTTAGTTCAAAATAATAAAAACCTCATTTTCTTCAACTGCATCTTCATCCATGCCCCATGAAATACCATCTGCAAGTGCTGCTTCTCTTTTTGCTCTTAGAAGTGAAGCTTCCATGTCACGTTTCTCTTGTCTCAATTTAAGATTTTTAACACTTTGCAAGTCTTTTTCCTTTTGAAATAAACAAGAAACACTTAATGAACTTCTATGGAATCATATGAAATGAAAATATGCTTCAAGTGAATGAGATTGAAGGGCCTTACAGGAGGCATTAAGTCATTTGGTCCTTGAAATATGTACAACCGAGTTGAACTGTATCCAAAGAAGAAAAAGGAAAAAGAAAGAATATGTAATGATTAATGAATTCAAACAAGTGACACAAAATGATAAAGGAATAGCATAAAAATGCAAGAACTTACTGGCCAAATCGAAGAACATCACCAACATGGAGCTCCACATAAACCTTTTGCTTCACCTGATTAGTGAAAAGGGATAACAATATTAACATATAAAGATTAGAATGCACATCATACAATCTACAATAGTTAGTTGTATTGATGTATGAAGTTGAAAACTTGAAATGGAAGTTTAAGTACCTGGTTCTTGTTTATGAAAGTTCCATGTGTACTACTAAGATCATAGATGAAAGCACCACCAGATTTGTTGAACTGGAGAACTAGCATAGAAGAAAGTATGTGATTAAGTTGATATTATCAAGATCATAACGATTTGATTTCTTAATCGAGGATTGAAAAGAACAAAAATAAGAGCAACAGGATGCAGGGAGAATGGATCTGTTGTATCAGGGAAGATAAAAGCTGATGCTTACCAGCATGAAATCGAGATATGGTTGGATGCTCAAGGATAAAATCACATAGATCTACTCTCCCGAACATGTAAGCTCCCTTCTCATACCTAGTCAATAACAAAAAAATATAACTCAGCAAAATCAAAATCAAACACAGAGCAAGGATTTTAATGCAACTATGACACATGTGCACACAGATCTTGAGAAAGAATCTGATCCATAATGCGAAGCCACTGTTACACTGATTAAGCCATAAAAATGAGATAGAACAACAGCTGTGACATTCTCAGTAAAGTTATAGTTTCTCAATATGAATTGGCTTGCAAGCTATTGCGATTAGGTTATCATGCGGAAAACGGCTACAAGTTGTTAATTCAAAACGTTGTGAACAGCTTACGCTTCGAATTGATCCAATGATAGAGCCATCTAGGATACTTACACATCAAACTGATCGATTATAGAGCCATCTTTAAGCACTTCAAGGAAGAAATTGTGGCAGGGAGGTTCACTCCATGGAGGAATGGTATAAGGAACCGCTACTCCACCACCGACATTGCTTGATGGTTTCTGCTCTTTCTTCTTAGTCTCTGATAAATTATCCTTTTCACCTGTCGCGGAATTGGGAGGCGCAGCGGCGGCATCATCCTCAGGAAGCGGGGGTTCTGTAGGTTGTACGGATTCCTCTGGTTCGATATTTGGGGGAATAGGTTGAATTGAAGGCGGAGGGCCCATAGGAGTCTTCTTCACGCCGTCTACTGTTTTGGTGGGTTTCTCTTTCGATGGAGGTTGATCGGAGTTGGTGGTGGGGGTAGGGTTACGGGGAGGCGGAGGACCCATGTCGGTCGTCATTTTCGGGTTTCAGGCAGCGGAGGAGGTGGCGATGACCAACGTCGTTTAAATAGCTTTAGGCCTCTGTTTCGGTTAAATGCATCAAAGCATGGTATCTGGGGCAGTAACGGTTGTACTTTAAGTTATAACCCTTTTCTTTATTGAGAAAAGAGAAAATTACACAAATGGTCCTTATAGTTGGTAGAAAGTACCGCCCCAAGTCCTTATGAATAATTTTGAACATACTTGGTCCTTGATAGTTTGAAACATTGTGTCATTGCATCGCAATCCTTTCCTCACCCTGTTAATTTATGTTTGCTAGTTACCTACACGTGCTTCCATGTGAAGTCAAAACTATCTTTTCATTTAGGCCTTCTTATATCAATGTTCACTTGGATATATCAGTCTATACACATTAAATGGTATATTTCATCTCTTTCCTTCTTTTTTTTCATTTCCTTCCATTTCAGTCCTCAAACGCGAAAACCTTAAGTTCCAAATGATGATTTACTATTATGGGAACCTAGCAAGAGAGATTGCATCCTAGACTGACTTGAATAATGATTGAAGATTTGGGTGTTGTCGACATAATGGTTCAAAGTGTGGGTTTATTGGTTAGTTTGACCCACCCATATGTCGTAGGGTTCTAAAAGTCATCCTTTGTTTACTTCAAGCGAGGAACAAAGTTAAAGAAACACTTGCAAGGATGAAGTGGGTTTTAGTTTTATGTTGAGTTTTTTCACATGTCTTTCTTGCATCCAAATAAAAATTAGGGTTTATGAATGTTTTTTGGTTTTATTCTCAAATGGGTTGGATGTAAGGGTATGTAATAACGAAGGGGTAATGGTATGTGTAGAAGTTGATTTGTTACTTCTGCACCAAGAGAAGTGATATCTTTAAGCCAATCAATGATTGTGTGTTGACAGTAAATGTATACTATACATAGAGTAAATTGATAGTCGTTCAATCATGCAATCTATCTTTTAGGGCACCTACGAATCTATATTGAGAAATATAAGCTTAAACATAGGAGCTAATAAGAATTTCATGTCTCACGTTCATACAAATATCTAGAACAAAATGGCATTTGATCATTTACCTAGTACTAAATTAAACCCGAGGGTTCAGAAGCAGGGATACATTGATAGGTTTATTAGGTTACAACAAAATGTTCAATACGGAAAATCACTTAACAATTAAGAAAAGTGTACATGCAACCTAAAAGGATCTATGTCTTTCATTTTGAAGACAACATACTTTGAATAACAAAACTAATTGAATCCTAGCAATCTCAAAATTAAGAAATCAAGGTTAAGGTTTTACATACTTTTGATTTGTTGTAGCAAACAAATCACTTCAATCCTTCCTTTAAAGAGCTTTGAAAGCTAGCACCAAAAGGATGATGTCTCTAATGGTTCACACCCAAACCCTAGAACTAAAGATATTGAGGTGAGAGTAGGAAATGTATAAATTTTGTTCATATGCTCTTTGGAAAGAGTATTGAACAATTACAATTCACCTCCTTGCACCTTTAACTAATTTCAATTAGTCCCACATTAATTCCAGATTAATAATTAATCAATTCTAACTGATGTCATATTAATTTATTAACCATATAAATTAACAAATCAATTATTTTAACAACTGATCGCATATTAATTTATTAATCACATAATAAATTAACAAATCAACTATTTATTTCCAATTAATATATTAATCATATAATATATTAACAAATCATTTCCTCATAATTTCTAATTAGTTTATTAATCATATAATAATCTAATAAATTATCTCTCTCCATAAATGTCATTCTAATCAAGTTATAGTTATGAGGGCAACCCAAAAAGGATTTTGTATCTAATTACAAGAATATACCAATTTAGTTATGAGCTTAGTCTAACGACCCGAAAATCCTACCGTAAACGACGTTAGTTTTTCCGTTACTCGAAGGACTATTTATGCAAAATATTTTAGCTCTATGGGGTTAAAATGGAATAAATTAACTAACACTAGTATTATTTAATATCTAAAAGAATTAATCAAAATTAAAAGGTGTGTAATATAATGAATTTGATTTATGGAACTATTAGGGTAAAAATAATTCACTTAAAGGGCTAAATTTGAATGGAGGGACCAAGGTATCATAAAAGGAAACTTTAATTGTTAACTAAGTAGGGTTAGGTGTGTTGGAAATCTTCTTAAGATTCTTGAGGGACTAACTAGGAAATTTGAAGTAACCCCTAAGGAGAAAGATTGATCTTTCTCCTTGTGTTCGTCCAGCATCACGTAACTACAAAAGAAAAAAAAACGATTGGGCCTTCCCTTGGGTTTGAAGACGAGCGACGCAACAAGAAGGAAAAAAAAGTCGACTCTTGTGGGTTTGGGGTTGCAACGAACCGAGAGGGAGGAGAGGGGAAGGAGGCCTTACCTTGATCGATTCTACAAGGAAGAAGTGGTTGCGATTTTAGCCAACAATTGGTAAAAAAATCATCTTCTAATCTCTTTTGTTGTGTTTATATGTCAAATTCCTTGTCAATTGAAGATTATGGTTGTCAACTCTCTTCTTAATTGATGATCATAATCTCATCTTCTCCTTCTTAGGAACATTTGAAGGTTCATATGGTGAAATTTCACTTGTGTTGGGTGTTTATGATGGCTCAATTGCTGTCAAATTTTCTTATGAACACCTTCAACAATTTCATTGTTCAGGTTCATGTTTTGATCAAAGTTTTGAACTCATTATTTTTCTTGTTGATTTCTAAAACTTATGTTAACTTCCACCATGAATCAAGTGGATATTTTGTTGTGATTAAATCATGTTTTGAGTCACCCAATAAGCCTCAAAACAATCTCATAAGTCCTTCCATGAGACTTGGTGGTGGAAGAAATCCAAATTCCTATTTGGGCAACCTACTTTGCTTTCCACCAAATGCTATGTACCTTGATGAGTGGGTTGTGATTGGCTTAATGGGTTAAGTGGTCAAAAAGTCTTTAAAACCCAAAGCTGGAAATTGCAAGAAATTGTCAAATCTTCCCCTTGTATTGGAAAAATTATAGAAAAATCACCAGGAGTCGGATTAATGATCCGTAAATTCTAAAAGTATGAATTTTGAGTCTAGTTTCTCCATGAATTTTCTAAGGACCTTTTGTTGCCTCCAACTTAGGTGATAATTGTCTTTTTCACCAGTTGGTCAGAATATAGCTGCATTGATAAGCAGTTTTGTAAAAATCATATAAAATTGAAGAAAAATAGTTTAGACCTTTAAAAGTACTTTCTAAAAAGCTACAATTCTGAACTTCAGGAATATGAAATAAAAATTAAAATTTTATAGGTTCAAAGATTGCTAAAATAGCTCTAAACAGGTGGTTGTTTTGGGTCCAAAACTGGTAACTTTACTTGATAGTTGATTAATGTGTTTGGGTTATGGATTTGTCATCTTTGGCATTGTAGAACTCCAATAATCTTTTGTTTATATTGTAATAGGGTCAAGGGTGATATTTTAACTTTTACAAGACTTGAAGTGTGAGTTGGTCACATCTTTGGCAAAGGTGAGTCAACTTAGTGGTTTTTAAAAGTACATTGTTAGGAGTATCCCATATCTTAGTTGGAATAGGATGAACCTAGTAATCTAGGATGTATGTGCCATTTTGATGATTGAGTGTTGTGCCATGATTGTTGAAATGTTTTATGTGTAACGGTATCTAGGATGTTGCATGTTAGATTCCTCTTTGTTTGATGTGAGATGTGAGCTAGGGTCATGCTAGATTGAGTGATGTGTATGAATATTATGTGATGTGAGCATGTTAATTCTTGTTTGAAAATATTTGTTTAAAATGTTTTAGTACAAGCATGCTAGTGTAGTATTATCTTTATAGAAGTGTTGTGAATGAAAGTAGTGTGTGATGTAAAATATAATAACAACATAAAATTACATGGTTGCATGGAATGAACCCTTAAAGAGGTAATGTGTTAATAAAAGTAAATCCATAAAACTTACATGATTACTTGAAAAGGGTGAAAAGTGTAATTCCTTAATTAATTAATTAATATTAAATTAAAAGGGGAATACCCAAGCGGGGCTAAGGGTAGTAACCTAGACTTAGGTGTGTACCTTATCCGGATAATATGATGACCTTGTGGGTTGAAAGATACATATAGGATAAAGAGCTTAAACCAACTTTGACGCTGAATGGTTTTTCTAGACAAACACTTGGGACATGGTCCTGGTGCACCTTTGTATACCGGGATTGGAGTGGTGTTGATGATTGATGGAATGTCTGCGAATACACCACATGGGAATTGGGAGGTGTAACATGATGGAACTGGCACCGCTCGTACCGATCCTTAACGACAACGCATGTATACGTATGTGCAAAGTTGGAGTAGCTAACGCAGCGCACCGGGAGCAATGATTACGGGTGAGATTCGCCCCTCATCTAGTGCATTGGGTCATGTCTGTCACGTTAGTAGCGAACAAGGTTCTTTCCTTGGGGGGTTTGCGATGAATAAATAGTCCCTAACTAGGAGGTATTACTTTAATAATTACAACGATGGTGAGTGATGAGTAGTTATTAATGTGAATTGGAGAAACAAAATATTATATATTAATATTTAAGCGACGAATCGATAAAATAAAATTAGTTACAACGGGGTTAAGGAGAGTAACTAATAAAAGAAGCTCTAAAAGAAGAACTAAAATAAATTAAGTTAAACATGTGTTTATTATGCAGTGTGATGTTATATGTCTTGTTTGTGAGTCTTTGATTGTGTGTAGATGTTTTGTGTGAATCCATATATGATATGTGTGTTCTCCTAACATTGTATTGTAATTGACTCACTTAGCTTATGCTAACACTTGTTCTTTGCTTGTTGGTTTTTGTGTATTGGAACAGGTAGCTTGACATGATGCCTTGGTGAGGATGGGAACCTTTGGGTAGTTTTTATTTAGTATCTTTAGTTATGATACCATTTGGACATTTTAGGTTTTCATCATTATGTTTTTTGTGAACTGTGAATTTTTATGGGTTTGTTTTGACATGAAAGTAACACTGGTGATGT